TGACGAGTGAGACTCCATCTCAAAAAAACAAAATAAAACAAAACAAACACTGTGCCCATGCCCCAATGCCTCTCCCTTGCATAAGATACTGAAAAACCTGCATAGTTAATGTCTGTAAACAAAGGGAATCAGATCAGATGTTGTGAGTGTGAAAACATCTATGTCTTGCCCTTCCTTATTATTATGCCATTTTCCCTCAAATAACACAGTGCATCTCAATTTCTAGCTCATTCTGTGTTTCTTCTATGCTACACAGTACTCTAAGTGTAGTTTCTCAGTTGCTTTTTACATTAACTCTATAAAGTAGGTCTGTCACTTACCCCATTTCCTAGATGGGGAGATTGAGGCCAGAGAGGTTAATTACTTTCCTAAGGCTGTCACACTAATATAAAGTGGAGTCATGATCTAAACCTCAGGGCCATTCTTTTGAATAATTGTGCTTCAAGCAAACTTTACCACAAAGGAGTCACGTGCCCCTATCAGTTTTAAGCATGCTACAGCAAACAGCATAACTCTATTCAGAGGTTAAAAAATATACTGTCTGTTACTTTTCTTTTGAGAACTATTATCAAGATTTAGAAAGAATTGATTCCAATATTATTACTCATATTGAAATGATTTTTTGGGACATGGTCATAGATAACATTATTTGGATTTTTTAGTTATTTCTAAAGAAAGTAATTTTTGAGTTTATCAAACTTTCTCATGACAAGTATGCATATATCTCTATTATACATTCCATATATTGTATAAATGGTACTTTTTTAACTGCTAGGTATGAATGTTGAGAACATCAACATCATTATGCTATCTCCCCCGTTTTTCATCTTATCTCTTCTAGATATTCATAATTTGCAATATTTACATTGCATTTTGTAAATCCTACAGTTGTATTAGCTTTATTCTTACAACAAATGGATACTAGAGACTAGCTTATGATAAGAAACTCTTGATTGGCTGAATGTTTTCAAGAAGATTTCATGCAAAATATAGTCTCTATGTCCTTGCCTCTTCAAAAATATTCAGAAAGAGCTTGACCCATTCTTTCCCTAAATAATTTGTAAGCATTGTGCCATTACATTCTAGAGTTCCATATTGACATGAAGTTTCAGGCCTCTCTGATGCACCTCCTTATAGCTAACTTGACCTTTTTTTTTTTTTTTTTTTTCTGGATGCCTAATGAATGTTTTCTTTAGCTTTGATTTCCAACAATTTTACTAAGATGTGTCTCAGTGTTAACTGTTCTATGTTCACTTACTGAGACAAGTTGTATCCTTTGAACCTGTAATTCAGTGCTTTGCTTCCTGCTAAGTTTTTATGAGTTATATATCATGATTTTTTTTTGTTTTAAAAGTACCTCAAAGTACTTTTTTATAGACATGATCCTCATTCTTTTCATTATGACTCATCTTTGAAATAAATTTTATTAGACCAGATATCTGTCACTGTTTCACTTTGGGGAGGAACAGGGTAATATTGCAGGATAATGCAACAGACAGAAAGGTGATGTTTCCCCCAAATTCATTTGTTGAATTTTTAACCCCCATGGTGATGCTACCAGGAGGTAGGAACTTTGGGTGTGATTAGATCATGAAGGTGGAGCCCACATTAATGATATTAGTAACCTTATGAAGGAGGTTCAAGAGAGACCCCTTACTCCTACTACATGAGGACACAGTGAAAAGGTGCCATTCTATGAACCAGGAAGTGGGCCTTCACCAGGCATGAAATCTGCTGCTGTCGTGATCTTGGACTTCTCAACCTCTAGAACTGTGAGAAATAAATTTCTCTTGGTTATGAGACGCTGATTCTATGACATTTTGTTATAACAACCAAAATGGACCAAGATGGAATTGAAGGTTTTTATAATATAGGTGTGTGTGTATGTGTGTATTTCTTTAGTCCATTGTTTCATAACTCTACATGCACATAAATTAACCACCTGGAGAGCCTTTAAAAGCCATCTATTCCTTGGATAACTCTAAGGTTGTGATTTAATTGACATGAGGATGGTACTTGAGAATCTGTGTTTTAAAAGGCTCCCCAGGTCATCCTAAGTTATAGTGGCCATGAAAACCTTCCATTTAGCTTTTGTCCCATTCTAGCCAACCCAGATCAGCAGCGTTGGGGTCCATCACAAAGCAGTTGTGTCCCCTCCACTCTATCTCCCCACCAACTGCTTGCAGAAATGAGGGCCTTTGCTTTGTGATGCTGCATGGGGTCCTGGTAAGCCTCCACAATCAGCCTTTGCTCTGATTCCCTGACTCAAAATATGAGATGGTTCTGTTACTCCAGGAACATGTATTATCTTAGAATATTGCTCTGCTGCTGGTGCTGTCTGAGATCCACAGTAGGCAGAATCCACTCAGGAAGTTTTCTGTTAGACACCCAGTCCTGTGATGTGGTTTGTAGTTACAGTTTTTCAGAGTTCTTAAATATGAAAATTTCATTTCTGTTTCTCAGTCTTCTGGCTATCTGGATGATTTTGGGGACACAAAAGGGCAAAAGATGTCTTTACTTTTCAATCTTACAACAGGGGTTCCTTGTCATATTTTCTATTCCATGACTCTGGCTTTCAATATATTTTACAATTTGAATTTTTCAACATCATCAGTGTTACATCTTAATGAGACATAAAGCTACTTATGCCAGAAATTTTATAAGTGAATTGAAATTCATGTTTTGAATGGTAATTTGATTAGTAAGAAAAGGAAATGGGCTCCTTTTTAACTAATCATAATTACTTACATATTCAAGTAATTAGCCAAATTCATATGCATAATTAGGCACCTAATTATGTTTTAAATTCAAATTCATGTATGAAGAGATGATCACATGTGTCTAATAAAATATTTTATTTTCCTAATTTTGTGCAAAACATTGTCTTTTGTTTCCATAAGAACTTTTAAATATAGTAGTTTGTGTATCTACAGAGATACATAATATCAGGAAGTAGCTATCAATTTCAGTCTAAATTACAGTGACCATTTAAAAATGTTTTGGTTATGGTACAAGATCAACATTTCATTATCTAACAATTAGTCATACAGTGATGATGAATTCAACCATCATTTGGGAAAAATAAGCAAACAGATGAAATTAAGCCTGTATAGAAAGGAAGGAGTCATGAGGAATAATGAATATTGCCAACAAAAACAGACAAAATCAGGGAAAAGAACAACAAGAAAACAACTTAATTCTCTATTGTGGCTCTACCTCCTCATACAAACATGCCTGGTTACCAATGAATTCAAAAGGACATACACTTTGTTGAGCCTATTAGTAAATATTTATGGAAGCCTCCCTGTGAGCCAGGCATAGCCCTGTGCCCTGGAGACTTGAAGATGAAAAGATGCACTTCCTGTTTTCAAGGAGCTTAAATCCTTGGGAGATAAATTAACAGTACAGCTATAGTAAGATAATTGCTTTAGTAGGGGGCGACTGCCTCCAAGGCAATTTCCTCCTAGAATTGGTCCTCTGGAACCAGCACACTACAAGGAGACTTTTTCTCTCAAACAGAGATTCTACCTTATATTAAGCGAAGCCATTGTATGTCAGAGTGAAGAAAGGTGAATCAACTTGAATATAATGCTGCATTTTTAATTCGGGTACAATCGTTGCATTAAAAATGGTGAGGGTGTGATGTGCTTTAGCTACATGATTTTAAAAAATTGGAGGGTATTTTCTGTAAGGGCAACCTTAACCCTGGGATGGTGACCACTCTCCATAGAAGACATGGATACACTCAGTCCCTGAAAGAAAGAGCTGCAGACTCTGAGAAGGCATGCATTCTAGTCATGCCCAGCTGTTGGAACTCCTGAAGCTTATTCCACACAGTGTATCAGCCTATACATCTCGCCTCCCATACCACATCTGTGATTTCTTCCTCATACCTAAAAGTTATTGGTATAATTCATGATGCCTCTGTACTTTTGAGACAGAAGGGAAGGATTGAAGATCAATTACAAAGCTGGATAAGCTTAAGAGAGTATAGCAAACTGAAATTGCTTCACATCAGTTGGCTTCTGGAGTTTTATGAAATAGGAGACAATATTATTGGTCAAAAGAGATGGAATAATGCCATCTAACTATAATGCTTAAAATCAAATATGAGGAAATATTAAAATATAAAGATGAAAACTTGAGATGTTGTTTGCAAAACTGAACTTAAAAAGATACCATTAGCCCACGTTCAGTACTGTATTCTATATAGAAGCTGTAACTTTATGGTTCAGCACGTGGGCCTGAGACTTGAAGAAAATTTAGTTTAAAAAATTACTCTGATAACAATTCTCAAGGCGTAAGATACTTGTTTAGAATTACACATTTTTTGCTTTAATAATACAATATGTGCAACTTGCATGGAATTATAATAAATGCAATGATATCAACTAAATGGCAGATGCTAAGTTCTTTCATTATGTATGTAATAGCACATTTTAGGACTTAATAAGGCAAGTTAAGAAGAAATGTTCACATTTGAGTACATAGTTTTCATGCACAAGCATTTCCCATACATTTATTACATAGTTGATGCATATTCATTAAGTAGTTTATTAATTGTCTTCTGATCAAGGAGCACTTTTCAGCTCTAATGCACTCATCAATACCTAGTATTATAGTTTTAAAGACTTACCTCGCCTATTAGGGTATAGTTACATAGGAAAGGAAACCAAATTTTGTTTATCTTTGAGTCAACAACCCAGAACCCTGTTCATCAAATAAATATTTTTAAATGCTATTATTAAGAATCAAAATAGTTAAAAATGAGAGATCTGTAACTCCATATAAATACTGCTGCCTATATACATATATAACATATATGCTATGCACTGTAGGGTAGAATATATTATAAAATAGGCATAGAATTAAAATTTATATTTGTATTTCTTCTATATGACAGCCAGTCAAAATATTAGTATCAATTATTTAATTATTCTGTCCACTTCATAAACATCATAAAATAGAAACTTAAAACGTATTTTACCAGTAAGACAGACCTATCTCATTAAAGCCACTGTAGCCCAGCTCTTGCCTGCTAAGTCCCAGATCTTCAAGGTCCATGCATTTAAATCCAGGTGGGCACTGGTAGCCTTCTTCTAGCTCTGGTGAGCAGTGTGTGTCTGGAATAGCTAAGCTATTCCAGGTTACATTCCTGTGAACAACACATGAAAGTGTTAAGACAATTTCAACAAACATAAATGTTGATTACAATGAATAATGTGATTACTCTTCATTAATAGCTACGTATCTGGCCAGGTGAGGTTGCTCATGCCTGTAATCATTGCACTTTGGGAGGCACAGGCAGGAGAATCCCTTGAGCCCAGGGGTTCGAGGTTGCCGTGAACTATGATCATGCCACTGCACTCTAGCCTGGGCAACAGAGCAAGACTTTGAGAGTTGAGAGACCTCTCTCTCTCTCTCTCTCTAACAGTACAGCAAAGAGAGTGTGTGTGTGTGTGTGTGTGTATGTGTGTGTGTGTGTATATATATATATATATAGAGAGAGAGAGAGAGACATTGAGAGACTTACTTTCTCTTATGTTGTAGGTACCAAATAATTGATGACAAGCATTGTTGATGAGGTTCATAGTATTTGTACCACACACTCTGAAACATAGAGTCAGGTCAGAATGAAGTGAAGATGGATCATTTGGCCTACATATAAGAATGAGAAATGAAGAGATATACGTGATGTGTCTGTCTAAAATCATATCTGTCTGGCCCACCCAATTGTGGTAATTGGTAATATATATATGAGACCCTGAGAGACTCTCTCTCTCTCTCTCTATATATATATATGATGTTATTTGCAAAATTGTGTATTTTTATCTGAATATAGTTTTAAGATTCATAATTCACAAATGATATTCATAACATTAATTACATATTAAACATTCTCAAATGATATGTGATTCATCCCCACAATGGCTCTTCACAAGAATACTATTACCATGACGGTTTTGCCATTACAGACTGAGACCCAGATAAGCAAAGGAAGGAATTTTTCTACAGATTTGCAAAGAATGTTAACTTGTTTGAGGATTCATTGTGATTCACAAAATCACAATGAGAAGGTGTCTCCAGGTCTTGCTCTGTGGCCTTGTCTCACTGTGGGCACAAATTTTACTTCCCCACTTCTAAGCAATGTTGTATGATGAAAATCATTTTCTGTGCGGTACAAATACTATGAAACTCATCAATGATACTTGTCCTTCTGAGTGTTGGAAGGTGTCTAGTTTAGAAAGAATCAGATAAATAAGGAGAAATGGAAGGAACTCAAGGTATCCCATAGGAAAGAGAGATTATGAGGTGATTTAGTGATATCTCTAGGAATATTAGAATCCTTTAGGTGGATAATGACATAACCCATTTTTATCTTTCTTAGGAATAGGCTGGATATCAACTTGATATAAAGGATTTAGATATGCAATGGCTTTCCTGACAGCAAATACAGATAACATAGGATTGCTGACTGTAGACTCTCATTCTGGGTTGATGTTAAAAATGGACCCCAAATAGCTGCTATCTGAGGTAGCCCACACGGATTGTGCAGAGGACAAAGTCTGGGGTAGATGATTTCGGAAGCCTTCTAAACCCATGATTGTGTTACACTCATTTCCCACTACATCAAAGTTTCTAGGAATTTCTTAAATAGAGAACAACCCTAAGACAGCCTCAGTCACGTCAGTTTTATGGCCAAATTGAGGTAGACTTACTGGGTGACTCTTTTTCCTTTAACATCTTCTTACATTCAGTTGCTGCTTCTATCCCTTTTATAATATGCTTTCTCTAAAGTCTGACACCTAATTGTGCAATCCCTTAGCTATTTGCTGCCACCACGCATATACACACGTACATAGTTTTATACACACACACACACACACACACACACACACACACACACCCCCCTTGCCTGGTGATATTTGCCTACTTCTCAGTCATAAACAAAGCTCCAGAAACCTTACCCATGATTCAAACACCCTAAGCTATTCCTTTAGGGTTCTGCCCTTTGTTCACAGCAGGTGAGCTTATCTGTTTGCTGGTGTCAAGAAGTAAGTCGTTAAATCATTGCTCCCTCTAGTCATATTTTAAGCTGGTCCTTTGGACCCCATCTGCAAAACCCAAGGGAAAGGCTCTAATTGTGGAAATTACCACAATTGGGGTGGGTTAGAAAGATAAGATTTTAGACAGACACGTCGTATATATCTCCCCATTTCTCATTCTTACATGTAGGCCAAATGATTCACCTTTGCTTCAGTCTGATCTGACTCTGGTTCAGAATGTGTGGTACAAATACTATGAACCTCATCAACGATGCTTGTTGTCAATGATTTAGCACCTACAACATAACAGTAACATGGTAAGGAGACTGGGCTTCTGAGTTTCAGAGTGAGACTTTCTGGGTTTGATCCCAGCTCTGCTATTTACTGGTTGTGTGACTTAAATAAGGCTCTAAGGGCCTCTAAGCTCAGTTTCCACATCTGTAAGGTAGAGAGAGTAATCATAATTAAAAGCAAAGCTTGTGTGAGGGTTAAGTAAAGCAAACCAAGTAATGCACTTTGCATAGCACCTAATGTGTTGCAAATACTGTACTCAGTACATGCTTGATCTAAATGATTATTAATCATTACAATAATGCAATGTAGCATAAATCCCAGCATGTAAAAACAGAACAATAAAGACTTGTTAAAAGAAGAGAAGAAACTTTGGCATGTTCATAGAACTATGCAGCTAAGAGATACTTTAGATGACCTAGTTCTTCATTTACTCTTGAAGGCAAAGTGAAGTTCAGAGAGGGAAGAGTCTACTAGCCCATCAAAATTACATATATTTTTAATTCCAAATACTTTTACAAATACAGTAGCAGAAATGTCTATGATAACACTCTGTCTACATGAAAAAGTTTCAAAAAAAAAAAATCACCTTGCAGGTATTTGGAGAAAAAATTGGACTTTGGAGCCAATCTTCGTGGGTGTGAGTTCTGACCCACTTATTACATGTGTGACTTAAGCATGCTTTAGTTTTCCAATCTATAATGGTGTGAAAATGTCTACCTCATAAGCCTGGGGTGAGATGTAAGTATTTACATCTGTAAAGTGTATAAAATGAGTAATTGACAGACAATCAATGCTGGATGTTACCTACTGTTATGACAGTTTGAAAGTTGTAGATTTCCTAGATTCAAACTCCAGCCCTATGTGTACAGCCTCAGTTCTCCCACTTCCAAAATGAGGATAGTTTTTGCATTCTTTGTAGGGGCATGTTAATGATTAAATGAGACAATGTGCAACACTCAGAACGGCACCAAAAATAAGTTAATCACTCAATAATTGTTAAAGATTATGATTTTTAAAGTTAATTTATAAATATTAGAGTACTTTTTCCTTTTTTCTTCCTATTATATTTGCTTTTTCTTTCATATTAGTGCTGATACTCATTTTAAGTACAACTCTCACTAGATATTATTTTGAAGTCTTTGGCTTTGGAGGCAGCAGACTTGAAACATTTTTACCAACATCAAGCTATTAGCAAATGCTTACTAGAAACACATTTATTAGATGATTAATTGCCCTGGAACACACATATCTAAAACCACAAGGTAATTACTGTTTTTAAAAATTGAAATGAATGTCAAGAGTTTCAGAATAGATATTTGTTAATCTTTGTTTCATTTTTTTCAGTTAACAAGAATCTTCCAGATTTTATTTTAATTTATTACCCTTAATTATTTCTGTAGTCATTTTCCCTCAGGTACTCCGGATAGAGAACAAGTGACTTTCTGGAGTTTGGGTGGGGTGGATGGAATTCTTGCCCCACCAGGCAAATCCTGGATATAGACAATGATTCTTTCAGTAATAGTAAATATCCACTCATGTTTAAATGGGTTTCAAGACCAGCATTTCTTACTCACAGATTTCCTGAATAAAGTATCTACTTGGAATCTCCCTCTTTTAATTTTTTAGCCCATTTCTGTAACCTCCAAGACACTGAAATTACTCTTGTTCACTTCCATATACTACATCCAATCAGAAGAATTTTAGTCTTATCTTCTGTGACCTCTCAGCAGTGCTCTGAATTGTTGTTTCTGTGGTAGAAAAAATACTGGTCCCCTAAAGATGTCCCCATTCTAACATATGGAACCTGGGAGTAGACAATGTTGCATAGCAAAAGGGAACTAAAGTTATAGGTGTGATTAAGGCTAAAGACATTAAATTCGGGAGATGATCCTGAATTATCCAGGTGGACCCAACCTAATCCCATGAATCCCTAACAGTAAAGAACCTCACCTGGCTGTGGTTGGAGAGAGATGTGAGTATGGGAGGAAGACAGAGATGCGACTCTGCTGGATTTGAAGGTGCTGGTTTGTCCATATTTCTTAGGCCATTCTGCTTTTCCATCTCCTCTAGTCTTGAGCTGACCTTTAGTCATGAGCTGCTCTGAGCTCTGTCTTTGGCCTTTCTCTTTTTTCATGATAACTCTCCCAGGCAATCTCATCCACTTTCATGATTTCTCAGTTCTCTGTCATCCTATACATCATTGCAGAGTCTTAGAGCTACATGTCCAACTGCTTACTAGATTTCTCCACTTGGCTACACCACAAGTACCTCCAGCTCAATAGGTCCCTTATTCAATTTGAAATCCTAAACCAGAGTTCCCTATCATAACAAATAGGACCAGCTTCCAAACTGTGGAGCAAGCTTGAAGTCTTAGAATCTTGCTTGATACCTACTTCTCCCTCAACCCTCATAAGTAATCCTCACATTCTCCAACATAGTCTCAAAATTTCTTTTAAGCTAATTCCATTCTCTCCAGCTCCCTCTCTAGACACACTCTTATCTGGCCTCCTCACTGGGCACTCTGCCTCCCACTCTTAGCCTTTCTGACACATTTGGCACAAAGCACATGGAGAGACCCTTCCTAATCACTGTCCTACTTTAACAGTGGCAAACCTGTAACATGATCTGCAAGATCCTGAAGGATCTGGCTCCTCCCACACTTCAAACACCCCTTTGTACCCCCCCTTTCCCCAAGTATCCTAGTGTCTGACCATGTTGGCCTTTCCCAGCTCCTGCCTAATGCAGGGTCTTCTCCTCTACTTGGAAGTCTCTCCTGTTTTCTTTGGTTAACCCCATTTTTGTAGCCTTCAGGCCT